ATGAGGTGCCAGGAGAAAGCGGCGCATTAGCGGGGGGTGGGGGCTCCTAGAAATCCCCCCCCCCCCCCGATTTTCGGTGGTGCCGAACTTTTTTTTTTGGCTAATTATAAGATGGTCTGTAATCTTCTCTCTCTCTCTTCCCCTGGGAAGGGTTGGGTGGGGGAGGTGAGGTTCTGTAGGAGAGAGAGAGAGAGAAAAAGAAAGAGAGAAAAAGAAAATGAGTGGGGGTGGGGGAAAGAGTGATCATGAAGGAGTGTTGATTTATACAAATATTCCACTTTTGTTAACTTGCCTGCCGAACATGGGAATAGCTGGAGGACCTTGCCAGCATGCGTATCCCAGCAGCCCTAGCGTCCTGGAGTACATGCCCTTAAACAGCCCCAGCGGACAGTCAGCCCAGCATTACCGTTAACTATGAGTTATTAGGCTCTCAGTTGCAACAGTATTAACTGGACAGGAAATGAGATTGCAGGCTTCACACAGAAGCACATATTAGGCATGTTAACAGTGAAATACAATAACAATATCAGGTCTGATAACTACTAGGTCTTTGCTGATCCTCTGATTTAAGGCCCCGAGAGGCAGGATGAGGGCGACTTGCGCTGACCTCTGTGAGCAGCGGTAAAGGCGTTACCCTTGACTGGCCTGACTGCGCTCGAAGCCTCTCCGCTCTCGGGGCGTTTCACCGCTCTGTCTCGCGGAGTCGGGAAACGGGAGAGCCAGGAGGAAGGAAGGCAGGAAACAGGAGCGGCGTAAACAAACGGATGTGCGCCGCTCGCCGCTAAGCTCCGATTCATAAACGGCCTTTGGAATCTATTCATTATCACCCCGCATTTAAATATTCATAATTCATTCATCAGGGCTCATTCAAATTGGATGATTACCATAATCAAAATGGAGCTTTGGTGAAAGAAATCTCTCCAGGGCACCGGAGACAGAAGCTGACTCGACGTACCTCAAACAATCAGAGCTATCCATCCTCGCTCTCCAGCTTCTGCTTTGATTATCATTTGATTTCCACTGGCCCACTACTCTTTGGGGCAGAAGAGCACCTTCCACGTCTGTCTGCTGCACAAAGGCTGACATACATGCACTCCCCCAGTTCCCATCATGCCCTGGGGCTCTCCCTGCCCATCAGCAGTGCTTTGCCCAGTGAAGCATGTGTGTTGCCCAGCTCAAGGGCTACACGCCCACCTAGGGGCGGGGGTGCACAGCGGCACCTCAGAGCCTGATCATACCACACAGGTGAAACTACAGTGCCCCCTGCAGGGCACTTACACATACCAGCAAACAACGGAGATCAGCTGTCTGTTCTTATGGGTGATTTGCCCTAAGACTGCACACCCTCAACAACAGGAGGGTAACTGGGCAAAACTGTGAGGCTTTTAGGGCAAAATCTCCATGACCACAGATATCATTTAGCATTTATTTACGCTACAAAGAATTTCCCTCTGAGATCAATAAAGTACATCTTATCAAGTGTGAATCTTCTATTATTCAAGATGACTGTGCAAGTTACTCTGCACTCTTAAAAAGGTGAGGGTACCTGGGTCAGTCCATTTTCATATGAGCATTAAGGGCTTTTCAGTTTAAATAACTCATTCACAGACTTGGAAGTGATGTGAAAATGAATGACAAATGGCACCTCTGTAATAACAGATCAGGCACGGTGCCTTCCGTGACAGTACCTTCACGTCCACCCTGTAGGTTTGGTCAGGTACAGATCACCATGTGCAGAGACTTATCACAGAGGTCTACTTCAGTCAAATAGTTTATTGTATGTATATAAAACATAAATGATTAAATGAATGTCACCCTTCCTGCTGAAAGGTCATTTGATATTTATACAAATACACTGGAAAGTGTTTGTTTTTGCATATCCCATATTGTCCTCCGTTTTTTTAGGACATGTACACATACTGAGGTGTGAGTCATTTAATCTGCCCCCGGGGGCATCTGTTAGAGAGTTAAGAACCTTGTTCAGGAGCCCAGTAGAAATGTGGCTTCTCGGCTGAGCATGAGAATTGAACCTGCAACCTCCTGTTCACTGGCGTAAAGGCCGAACACACACACACACACACACACACACACACACACACACACACAC